ACCAATTCTTCTTCTTCTTCTTCTTTTTTAAGGATGCTCCAATTTAGAACTCAGTTTAAAATAAATAAATTACACATAATTTATGTTGAATGTAACTTTTTTTTTTCAAAATTAATTCCATATAATATAAAATAAGCAAATACATTAGAACATCATTAATTTTAAAAAATGTATTATTTTAATTTCTCGTATAATTTCATATAAAATTAACTTTTATATCATTTTAACATTATATATTATTTCCTAGTTAAATTAAATATAAATTAATAAATAATATTCATAAAATTTTTAAAATTATTTTAGACATAATTGTAATATTTTTAAAATCCCAAACTAATACAATATATAATTTATTTCCTTTATAACTCCATATGAAGTTTCATTCATGTATCTTTTTAGGGGAAAACATACTATAAATGTAGTTTCCAAGAAAGATAAGGGAATAATTTGTGAAGTTTAATTTTATATATATTTAAAATATTTTAACAGTCAATATATACTAATAAAATTATGTAATAAATCAATATAAAATAAGGTAAATTAGAAACTTCATCTCTATGCTTTCATCTTATTATAATTAAAATCTTATGACATTTTAATATCACAAACTTTTGATTTTTTGTCATTTTGCATAAAGTCAAATATTTTATTTTAATTATTATCTTATATATATATACTTTGTTTTTTATTTAATTGTAATTCATTTAACCTAACTGTAACGATCCCGAAAATATCTAAAAGAAATAAATGATAATTAAAGTACGGAAGTGAAATAAATGTTCAAAATTTACATTTCTTACACAATAACTTAAAGTACAAATTAGTGTTATGGAATTCACCATTTTGAAAGAAATACGAAGAAATAAAGAAGTGAACAGAAAATATATAAAAGTACTACTCTACTCGTAATTCTCTTGCGGATTGGGTTCTGGATCCTGATTCTCTTGATCTAAAATGATTAAATAAGGGATGTACTACACTAACCCAATAAAAATATAACTGTAACGGCCCCGGAAATTTAAAATGAAATGTGTATTAAAAATATCAAATGCGGAAGCGACGTCCAAATTCGATTAACATCCCTTACACTAAAACCAAAAACGTGCTCACAAAATATAAAAGATCAAACTACCTAAAGGAGAAACTTGAAAGTAAAAGCTACGAATATGACTATGGAGTCTTTAGGCGTCCCCTTCGTCGTCCTCCTGCGGAATCGGCTCGGGAACGATGTCTTCTTGATCTGAAATGATTAAATAAGGAATGAGTTACACTAGCCCAGTAAAGACGTTACGATATCTCACCGTCACGGAGGTAAAGGTGGGTAGAAAAACACAAAAAGACCAATGGAGCATAATTTACAACAAATTCTTTTATCAATAATAAGTCATTCACCATCCACTTACCTCGATGGAATTCATAAAACAGTATATGAAAGCAATAACATTATCATCATCATGAAATCATATATGAACTGTATAACATAATACTTATCAAGCCTTTTGTAATTCAATCGTTACACAACATATTTTCCTCATTTACCAGCCCACTAGTATCCATGGGGATCCATAGGGGTCCCGCTACCCGTTAACCCTTAACACTTGAAATCAGATTCCAGGGCCGTCCCCATACCCCATCCGGTATGGGCGCCAAAACTATAAACCTCATTACCCCGTCCGGTATGAGGGTGAAACGAGCCGTCCCCATACCCCGTCCCGTATGGGCGCCAAAACACATAAGATCTCCATACCCCGTCCGGTATGGGAGACCACAATCCCGGTAGGGTTCCCTATAGATCCGGTCCGTCCACCATCTCCCATGATATCTAATCAGGCTGACCACATTATACAATTACCCATTTACATAATCTTTCATTCTCTTTTTCCTCAGTCAGCATCATCAATCCACATACAAACAAGCAAAACAGTAATTTATGCCAAACAGACAACATACAGCATCAATATCTCAGTTATTCAATCCATAATCAATAAAACAGTAAAATATGCACACGAAACTATAAAATG